CAGGTGTTCTTCTGGCCATACAGGGGTTGCAAATTTCATTAAATGATTGATCAGTTTTTCTTTTTACACATGCTCGATAATATAAAATGTACAATATAAAGAATTAAAAAATGAAAATGAAGTTGGCCCATAGACATACGAAAAATTATTATGCGGCTTGCTTTATGATAATATACTTGATAAATGTCCTAACTTTTAGGTTAGTTTTTTTTAAAAAAATGCTCCGCATTGTACAAATTGTTGACTCTTTCACCTAAAATTGGATCTAGAATTAGATTTCCGGATATTTTACCTCGATTCATTCCACCTAAGCGGAACTTGTAAAGGTTTTTTGTTAAGATAGATTGAACTCCAAATACAAACAAAGGATCGAACTCAAGTATTTTGATTAGAACTGGTACTTTGATCTTGTAATTGCTGAACAGAAATGCTTGAATTTCTTTGTAATTAGTTCATGATTATAATGAATTTTAGCCGATTAAGCAAATAATTATACCAATTTTTATACATCAAGTACTTGTCATGCTGCAGATTCTTGGATGGACAGCAGATACTTACAAGCTCTGGTAGACACCAACTTGGCAAGTTTTTTTAACTACTTGAAGCCTTTTTGTCCGTATTCTTTCATGCCCTTCTAAACACGTCTTATGATTAGCCATTGTATTGGGTCTGTCACCTCCCCGTTCCATTTTTGTTGAATTTGAATTTCTTATGTCGACTTTGAGGTGTTTACTATTTTTACTGAATACTCCCTGTGGGACATTGAAAAGGCCAGCAACTCATTTCTTTTCTTGGTCATACTTGGTGATGTCATAGCTTGTCGCTTGTGCAATCCGATGGTGGTTAGGAACATTTGTCTCAGGTGCATGTGATGCTTCAGCAAAGGTACACTAATTGTTTTTTTAGGCAACATTAGTAACATATTATCATTTATATCATGCTTTAAAACAACTTCTGATGAATGCGTTGAGTTATCTTTCGATTCTTTGTATTACTGATGGCAACGTTTTGGCTTGAAAGGTTTGGACATTCGTGATGGTATGTGGCAAGCAAACTTTTCACTGGACCTTTGAGTCTGATATCAATGCTATGAGCGGTACGTATAATTAGCCCCCAAGGCAGAAACTCGGTATCATCTTCACTGCAACTTGCAGATTTACAAAGTTTAAACTTGTGTTGTAAAACCTTTTAAACTTTATTTTATTCACCAATTTTAAGTTGCACACCTCGTTCCAGTCATTTAGAGGCTGCCTTTTTAACCTGCGTTACAAAATATTATGATGAAATGAATATAAAAATGGCACAGAAATGTTTCAAGGGATTAGCATCGCATTTTCAAAGGGAAAACCATTTCTTTTTAGCAGTACAGAACCTGAAATAATGGCTTTGAAAGCAACATTTTACAACATATTGGCTAAAAGCTTTTGGTCTTCTGACACTCCTCAGAGTATAAAACGTCAAAATCTTTTTCATCGTGTTTTGTCGGACCCTTATTTTGAGGTTTTTATTGCTCTGAGTAGTGTCTAAGACGAAAAAAGCTATTTAGCCAATATGTTGTAGAAGTTGCTTTTTTCAAACGCCATATGAAAGAAATTTCTACTAGCACACCCAACTTGCCGCATTAATTACCGATGTTTTTGTTCTTCATTATTGTGCTTCAGTTTCGTTTGTTTGATAATTTTTGGGCTCCTCTGAGAGTTATAGGAAATGTTTTTTCTTTCAGTACTTTCCTAATGGAATGGCCTTTGGGCACTGGTCAGATGATGCCCACTTGTCGTCTATTGACATCAGATACTGATCAGGTACATGTTCCAAGTTTAGCTTTCTGTGTCCTTAGGTCCTTAGTATTATCATTACAAAGTTTTTTCATATCGTTTCTGTAAGTTATAATTATTCGTCGCAAAATTCTCATTCCATCTTTGACGGTTTCCATTCAATATTTTAACTGTTAACTTCTCTTATTATAGGAATTGTGTGTGTATTCGCACGATAAATATTATATGTGGGAATAAACTTCAGTGGCCTTCTCAAAAAGTGGGCCGGCTTGCTGTTGGCTGGCTATGATGATTTTAATGCAATTGTGTGGATACGTTTAAAGGAGACCGTGCTGGGGTTCTTGCCTGGGGGGTCCATGATTACGTGTGAGTTGATCTTGGAGATTCCGACGATGCATGGCAGGGTTGCAACTGGTAGTGGGATAGTTTCATTGCGGGTTCTGGAACTGATAGGACTGACCATTAATAAACAGTGAAGATGAAATTGAAAATGGAGAAACACGTTGATTTAAGTGCTTTGTAAACAACGAAACTGTCCGAGACCAGCGTGTTATCTGGCTGGCAAAACAAATTGCCACTTTCTGCTCAAAATTACTAGTGCAATGCTTTGAATCATCGTGTATCTGGGCTGACTTAGAACAAATTGTTCTTTCATTTAATTGCATTTGTTGGTATGACATCGGCCGTCTCACATGCTTACATACAAACTTTTATGATAAACCTGTAATTAGATTATCTATTCTACTTTGCCTCAATTAGTAAATCTAGCATGATTATGTATCTTAAAGACTCTACGCAAATATTGGCAAGATTGAATATTGTTGAAGTTTATAGTTTTGGTGTTATCAAATATCTATGTAAATCCCAAGTCCCTAACTGAATACCTAAGTACCATTTGCTCCAAGCAACAAGCTGAAAGTTAAACCGTAGACTCCACGCCTGATTCTAGTTTCAATTGGCATGGCGTCGCCCATTTACAAGGCACTTTCTCTCGCTGCTGCAACCATTCCAGCTCCCATCCTTAACGCTCTCGGTGCATTCTACATTGTTCACGTTTCCTTTTTTTCTAAGCCCCAGACCTCTCCTTGAAGCCGTCTGCCAAAACTTAATGGGTTTGCGTCGTTTCTGGGGTTTCAGTTTCTCTCTGTAAAGTTAGATTCAGTGGATGATTATCACATTCAAGCAATCTGAGGCCTTTTATTACCGGAATTCCATTATATCATAGCGAAATCCCGGTATGTTATTTCTGGAGAACAGAGTGGCATATGCCAGCTTTTTATCGAATGAAGGCTGCCATCGGCGTTGTGTACCATTGGCAATGTTCATCAAATCAGCTGTATTGTCAGCCATTGAAGAGATTTTAAGATTTGATATTGCCATTATGTTAAGATATTGATGTCGATAAAAGACATTGTTAATTAACTTTCTCAGTGTTATTGTCGTGTCTTATATATTGGCGTACATTCTTCTTCAGCGCCACAGTTTATGGCCTAGAGGCCTGGTTTAGCTACTGAATGCTTTGTCTTGTCCCTTTCAAACTGTAGGGACCCATATGCAACGACGACTGCCTGGTACGTTGATTACGAGCTTACAATTGTACAACATGATTTGGGGTTAAAAGAAACAGTAGCAAGAATGTTAGGGATTTTTTGTAAAAAAATAAAGAAACGAGCTTTATCACGCGTTCATTCATTTTTTATAGTCATAACATCTTAACCCAAACACGAACGACTAACTTGAGGTTAAAAGTGCCGCAATCGTGAAGTGCCTCCTTAGATGCTCGTTACCTAGAAAAGGGCAAATATTAGCGAAAAATCACGGATTATAAGAATCAAAATTTATTTGGATTTTGAAAAATTTTCACTTCAAAATGTATTGCTACAATAGGGACTGCTTATAAAAAATAGTGGGAATTTTGCTGTTTCTTACTGTTTTTGATTTACTATGAAATTAGTTTTAAAAGACGCTGGTTTATAAGCTAAGTTGCATTGTTCTTGCGAAAAGAAAAAATCAGTGTTCTTTCATGCCCTTCTCCCATCACCAAATTCTTTTCTAAAAATGCTTAAAAAAAATAACTTACACTTCTACCAGAATTCAGCAAAGAAAATTCAATCGCCGGCTAATCTTCTTTGAACAATTACTGAGCCTCTATCTTTTTTCCCTGTTTTTAGCGCGCCGCCCACTAGCACCTGTGCAGAGTGTGGAGTTAAAAGCGCAGTATGAGCGAGAGAGATTTTTCGCTGATTCTGTAGAAATGCCAAGTGTTTTTTTCTGAACATTTCTTTCAGGAAGAATTTTGTGCTGATCCGAGAGGGCGTCGTTCTTGCAACCTTCTACAAAGGGAGCATTCCACATCTCCTTGTGCGTAAGTTTAGTTGGTGTGGGACCCACGTGTCTGCCAAGAGGACACGTTTTGTGTTGGGGTGATTCTATGAGGGGGATTTTCTGTTTGGCGGGTTTTTCTTTGGGGTAGGGGTTTGAAACTAATTGTTAATTCTGAAAAAAAATCGTTTCTATGAAAAAAGGATTTTGACACGGGTTCATATCTGATAATGAACGCTAAAGGCTGAGACCAATATTCCGTCAAAAATGTTTTCCAACGATTTATTCTTTTAAAAAACAGATCAACTTCACGTGTATAATCTGCTTGATGAGTCACGAATCTAAGATTAATAGATGTCGGGGAAAAAAACTTGCAGGCTTAGGAAAATTTGCAATAAACATTCTGATATTTTCTTGTAAACAGGGCCCATGGATAGCAAAAGGAAGAAAGCTTTAGAAAAAGAAAGGCTTTAGAAAATTTATCGAAAATAGGAATTTGATTTTCGTTCTAAAAGAAAAGTTATATATTTTCGAGAAAATAACGTTGTTGAATGTTCGTTAAAAAGTATGACCTAGTGTAAAAAAGTATGACCTATAATGTACTTATACTTAAGAAAAAAGAGAAACTAATTTTTGAGAAAGTTAGAAACCAAAAATATCGGCAACTTTTTCTTAAACCTTCCCTATTACCCCCATTGTATGTGCAACTCATTGAAAGGGCGCATGCGCTAATATCCAGATATGGGCGCAGTGCACTCATAAGTGGATTCTTATTCTTACGGTTTTTTGCGAGATAGATGAAAAAGAAAGAGGCGGTATTCATTTGGCACGATTTACATGCTTCCGCGATCAGAAGACTGGTTTTCATTTATGCTATTCGTTCGGCGATGATCCCCGACTGCACGCTTCCCGATGGTCTATGACAGTCTGTGATGCTGTGCATGGCTGTGCGTCGGCGGATCAATCGCCGACGGAATACGATATAGAAAACAGCCTTGATAAAACCGGGCCATCGGGAAACCATCCCGGCGATAATCAACAGGATTGGGGCGGGGGGGGCGGGGGGGGGGGAGTTGGAGGGGGTTGGCATGGATAGAAATATAGCTTTTTCTTTACCTGCCTTACGAAGTACTGTCAGATCTTCAATTAGCTGTTTTTATAAGATCTTCAAACACAATTTTTGAACAAACAAAAACAAAACTTACTTTATTTGCACCATGCAGTGGGTAAGGACATAGTCATCTGGTCCCGACTGTAGATGGTGCATTCAACAGAATTACAATAGTCAATAAAAAGTTTGTCTCACATTAGATGTCGGAAGAAATCGGTCATAAAGATAAGTTCTGAACTGTCATTAGACAGTCCAGAATGCCCAAAAATGTTGAAGGAAAATTCCAGGAATATCTAATGTGTGACAAACTTTACTCTAGCCTTCCAGTTGACAAAATGAATGATATTGTTGCCTCCAAAATCAACTTGTTCGCAATATTGTTGAACCGTGGATGACCAAAAAGGAGTAGTTCACATGGGGCCTCAGTGTTAAGATTATCAAGCTCAAGTCCTGGGATTTCTGAAAGCTGATCAAAGAGATCGTTACGCATCGCATGATCAAAGAGACCGTCATACATGGGGCAATTCAGGAGAAAATGCTCATTGTCCTCAATGCCTGTATTGCACGTGCAGATGGGACTCAAAGATTCAAAGTTGTGCCGAAACTTGTGGTCGCTTAGGGGACTGAATCTAACCCGGAGCATAGTTAAGCATCTCACAACACGTGTGTCGCAAATTCCAAAAAATGGTTTCTTATCTGGTCTTATTTTTGCGAGCAGCTTGCGTTTAAATTCACCTAACGTATTTGACTCACGAACATCTTTTGCTAACGCATTCCATTCAAGGAGCACATTCTGGAAAAATGTGTTTGAAAAGCGAGCAGTTCTGCAGACAGCTGCATCGTATTCATTTACGTTTCTGAGAGAATACAGAACTTCACGAGCAGCAGGAATTTCATCAAACAGATACGCCGGTTGGCGATTTTTACGCAAGTTAAAGAGATGGCACAGCCGCCTAAACCACCTTCTATGATACAAATCCTCCCATCCTAGTTCATCATAGAGCCTTTGCCTACTTGTACCTCTCCATGAACCAGTTATAGCAAGAGCTGCAGAGTACTGTGTTTGTTAAAGTCTTTTTGTGACATCAAGGGATCAAGGGTCATGTGTGGATCAAACATAATCTTCGCAAATTATTGGGGGCATTGCCAGGGGCGAAACTACCGGGGGGGTGTGGGGGGGTGTGACACCCCCCCAATCCAAAACATAATCGATTTCGCAGGGCAATCGAAGATTTCGCAGGGCGCCATGAAGAGCTTTATTGCCACGCAGAAATGCCACCTCTGAAGTTCGTAAAGAGCCGTTTAGGAATTTTGAAATAGAAATATCGTATTTGTTATGAACCTCCCTTCCTGACATTGCATTTTAGAGAACGGAACAGGTATGTAAGGAAAAGCTCCGTTATTTGCAAAGCGAAAGCATTTCTTACCGAAAGTCATAGC